TGCCTATCCCATAATTATTTTCTCAAAAATGTTATTTAAACATATCAAATACTGAATAAAAGTAGACCTTCGTATTTGAAAAGAAAGTCACTCAAAACGTCTCTAAAAGGCAATGTTGTGATCTCTTCAGTTCCTTATTCAACAGAGCATGGAAACTTCACATGTGGATGATTTGATGCTATTTGCTGCTGTAGAGCATTAAAAATATATGTAATGAATTACATGGATTTATATCAATTTTTAAAGACCCAAAGCATGTTGATGGTTTTTTAGTTTCACTAAAGATAACAATGAGAACAGTAACTATAAAATTAAAATTAAATTAAAAAAGAAACAAAAGATGCATACATTCTTAGGAAAATGTAGTCATGACAGATTTGATACTCCGCCTCAATGAATGCAATTTGAAACATTACCACTTTTGTTAAGTTGGTCAATAATTTGAATTAGGAAACTTTGTACATTATGTAATGTAATAATAGAAGATAGATACAAGGGTGAAAAAAATCATATATGTGTGTATGTGTATATAGAAAGTAGTTGTAATATGGTAGGTAGAAAGTTTTTAGGTTTTGTTGTGAATGCTTAAAGTGATACAATACAATTCTAAAATAGGTGACAATAGAGTTTTGCAATTGTTTTTAATGATTCACTTTATAGAATGGTCTTCTATCTTGGGGAGTTTCAGAAGTCACCATTAACCACAAGACTGCTCCATGTATATATATTCACACAAAAAAGGGATGTGTGTTTAATATTTTCTAAAAATAAATACTCAACATCGGTTCATTGCAAACGTAGAGAATGGTAGTATCACATTTATTGGAACATCATTAATGCGATAATCCTATAATTAATTGTTGATTTTGCACCCGTTTTAATTTTCGGTCTGCCATTTCCAACAGAGTTTATAATCAAAACTTTAAAATATTTATAGATGAAACAACACTGAAAAATTAACTATGTTTTTTTAGTATATGATACTGAGTATATAATCAAATATATAGTAAACATTTCGTGCGACTATATTTGAAAAAATCTGAGTCGGTTTCATAAAGATTATTTTTATAAACTGTAAAATTTGTTGATTCAATATGTGCAATATAATAATAATCTCTCTGTTTTTATTTTTAGAAATTTTCAATTTACTATATATATATATTACAAATAAAATACTGACTTCTAAATTTTTATACATCAAAAAGAATTTTACTAGTTGAGATTTTTAAAACTTACAAATTTGAATCCTGTTATACATATATAGTTCAAAGTTATAATTTTTGTACATCCTATAGTATTCACTATGAACATAATAACATATATTTTTTTAAAGTTCAAACGTTGCACAAAAAATATGCACTGTTTTGAAGTAAACCCACATGCATTGAATACTTTAGCTTGGTATTACCTTTATAGCAATCTTCAAAGCAAACAATCATGATTTTCCATAACAATTTGCACATTCATTGCTCAACTTTGCTTTGATAGGTCCATGTAAGGACACACAAAGTGAACATTTTTTTTGCATGACACACTCACTATGTAGAACATAAAGGCATGAACAACCTCTATTTTTGTACCAAGCAACTTAATAGAAAAACCCAATTATTATCAAGATTAAAGTAAATTGATCAAGAAAAGTTAATTCTACAATTTAAAATTGTAAGGTATCAAGCGCAATCGCAATGTGAACCTCAAAATCTTAACGTGACATGGACGACCAACGCTCCTTCGTCGCGTCACCGACGCCCAGATGAACGATTGTCGTGCCTTCGACGACCGAGGAATCTTTCGTTGTCTCTTCGTTATTTAGGGCTTCGGAGTCGAGCGTGATCATCGCGTTTTTGGGTTTCAAACCAGAGGTGCAATTACCTCGATTTTGACGACCTGCAGTCCTTTTTCGGAGATAGTTGCATGGTCTTGGCGGCGTTAGGCCGTCGAATTTTCTTCGAGAGGGAGTGTTTATTTATTTTTTATTTATTATTATTTTTATTTAATATATTTCTTCTTCTTCTTCTTCTTCTCCTTCCAGAATGTTCCGCAACTCCCAGCTTCATTGAACTTTTATATTGTATTTGTGTGTGCGTGCGTACGTGTAGCAACCAATTGCGATTCCTTAACGAAGAGTTACGACTTCGGAGGATGAAAGGATCAGAGCGTCGAAGCAAAGCTATCTCATAGTCCACCCATCTTAGGACTATCGCGCTGCTGAACCCAAGCAAAACCCCGAACAATCGGCATGAATGTGATCATGCTCAGCGGGCCTTCGAATCAATACCAAAACCTGCTCACTAGATACGCTTCTCAGCCGAGATAGCTCATGTCAAGACGGATACCTGGAGCATGAACAGCGTCCAAAAGGACCAGGTTATCAGCCACCGAACGCGGGACGCCTTTGGAAGATGCACGGGGCCAAGGAGCTACGAGAGAAGAATAAGGAGAAGAAGAATCAGTAGCAGGAGAAGAATCCCGACCTGCGCAGTGAACGATTGATTTTACGCCGTCGCTGCCAATTCCTCGTTATCTGGATCTGCCATATTGGTCACATTCCATCTGTTTTTATCTTGAAGGAACGAGGAGCAGAGGTCCCTGTGGATGGACCGGTCCCGCGCTGGTCCTTTCCTTCCATTCATGGCCATCCCAGCAGCAGACGCAGCCGCCACCCTCCTTCTGCTCAGGTTCAGAGGCGTCGACACGCCAGACCAACCCCAGTTGAAGATGGCAGGCATTCAAAGCCTGCCAAATCGGGGTGTCGTTTTTGTCTTTACGTGCGGGCGTGTTTATTGCGGTCACTTCCGCCAGCAGGGCTGATCGATCAGCCATCGGTACTGCTAATATTGCGATGCCAGTGTTTGATATGGAGGATTTCTTCACGCGCACCTGGCAGCAATCAAGTCAGACACGAGGCAGCTTGACCAAGACTTTGCAATACCCACCGTGGCGGTGGCGCCTTGGCCCAACTGCGGAGGATATGGAGAAGGTACTTCCCCACAGTTTAGGGGTTGATTAGCAGAAAGATTGATGACGACGTTATAAGTTTCAGCCATTTCAGTAGACCTCGCGTGATGGAAGTTGGGGAAGCATGCTGCTGGCTTCTGCCATCCAATTAGAGCTCACTCACAGTCATTGAGAAGATTATTATGACAATAGGGAGGTGTCAGTTCCTGATCAATTTCAGGCGTAGGTTTCTCAACAACAGGACCCTAGAGCTTCGATCAAGTTCACACACTTTTTATAAGTGGAGAGTTGAGAAATATCGCTCACTAAAGTACTACTCTTCAGTGTGCTCCACATACTCTCTCATTAAGATAAACCTGGGGCTTTCATTTGCATATCTGTAAATTTATGTTTTTGAGTTTTTGTCCTTCACCATACAATACTGCCGCGGCTTCTCACAGGTGATTGTTGTTAATACTTGTCACGTTTCCCTTGTAATGAATGTAAATTCCATTTGAAGAATCTCGTAACGGATAGAAAAGTTGTGCAGACCCCATGCAGAAAATCCTCACACGGATAGAAAAAAGTTTTTAGCCAGTGTCCCAAACCAGTTTGTCCAGCGCATTCCCCCCCTCAGCATGTTTTGTGAGAATCCCTGGCATGAGATTCTCCGGCTCGCATTACTCGGGATAATCACTCAGGTTACATCTTTTAATCTCCTTTTCAGGTTTTTGTCGCATTGTTTTGAAGGCAGTTCGTTTCATCTTCTCTCCGTGGCGCGACACATGGGTTATGGGAAGCCTCAGCGCAGAAAACCACTAATTCGGTAGTCAATTCGTTCGACTTTTGCTCATGCTGAATTGTAGCCTTGAGATCAGGAGGGGCAGCCAAAAATCCTTGTCTTCATTCAGGGCGCGAGGGATCAACAAAATTTTCACTCTCATTCAGACTATCATCTGAGGCAACGCAAGTTTGATCGAAAGTTGCTTCATCCTCCTTTCAAGGTAACGTAACCGTTGCAAAAGTCTCTTTCACGGTACAGATCCCCCATACAAGCATTGTTTACACATGATCCCCCTTTTTTTTCAAACAACGAGTTAAGGTCGCAAGTGCACAAAAAGGGTAGGTAACAATGCCGATCATTCCACCAGTGTATTTATTTCTCCGCTCTTTCTGAGAAACTCGAATTGCTGCTCTAGTGCCGTTTGATTTGGACTTGTCAGGACTGGGGGATTGAAATTGCCGCCTGAACTTGAAGCAGTAGACGATCATCCGAAGTGTATATTAATTATTCATTTTGGTTGGTCACACAATTTCCATCTCCCCGCTTTCCAAGTTTAGCACCGAAGTTTAGATCCTTCTAGTGAATCGTGGGCATTGCCTCCAATTAAACGTGAAAACGATTGTGCTTAGTTTGGTCGGTTGGGAACTGTAATTGATATATTTGCAGTGGTATCTTCCATGTGATTTTAAAAGTAAACATGGACCTTATTTTAGGATGCTGGGAGAAGAGTGGCATGCGTCATTAGAGGAACAAAAATATCACCGTGTGGGGGCGCTGCACTATCACATCTCGAACGCCCCCGTATGTTTTTATTCAACGTAGGGAGTTTCTACGATTTACCAGTACTTCTACACTCAAAAGAGGTTAAACCGCAGGTATTAATAATATGCGAAATGGATGTAGGGAAAGGATTCAGATCAGTGTCTCTCAAACGAGTCTCAGACATATACATATACACATTAAATCGTAATAGTTTTTTCTCCCGAAATAATCCTCTGCCTTGTCGTTTCGAAAATACATATATATATATATATATATATATATATATATATTCATCTATATATCTTAGTGTATATTGCCTTGATCAACAAAATTACAAGCTTGCATTGAATTGAGCCGACGCCAGCAAAGCTCACCGCAGAGCTTGGCCGTCCGCAAGGGTAATAAAACCTTGGATGGATCAGTAGCGGAGCTTGTCAGACCCCAAAACATTACTCTCGTAACAAACTCCTGCACCCATCTCGTGCAACTAATCCGAAGTTCTGGCGGATTCAGAGCCCTAATGTCGCGGGACGGGTGTTCTGACGACCACCAGCTGCTCCACCTCCCACTACAGCCTGCTTTTCCATCTCGGGTTGTAAATAGCACTTCGCATGCCCCGCAGTACCTTGCAAAATTAGGTCCTCAAGCTTTTCTCGGATGCGCTGGAGTGCTTTCACTGTTTCCCCACGTCGTTTCCATCACCGGTCCTGGAAACATATCTCATTAGTGAATTTGGTCATTAGGTGTTTTTGTATCTTGATCGAGCTATTTGTGGCTGCCAAGCGGCACAGGCCATCCATTGGCACCCAAACCAGCAGTTTTCCATCGTGGTGTATTCTTACGGCGCCCGCTGTCTAGCAATGTAGTGGTCCGAGCCCACGCTCGAGCTCGATCAGGAAGAGCTGAAGGAGGCATTGTAGAAGCAGCAGCACACTCACTTGGCGGTACAGATTGACAATAATATGCTTTGAGCAGTAGCCGGTTAGTGGAGGTGGATCTACAGTTCGACAGTTGAAGAGTCAGCTGTTTCCGGAAGGGATTTGTCCTTGGTAGCTGTGGAGAAAATCTGAATGCCTTGTGTTGGTCTTTATGAGATGTCCACGGTCTGGAGACTGACAGCTTGACAGACATTGCCACTGATGAGCTAAGGGGGGACAGTACAGACTCTGCAGTACATTGGAGTTGTTCCAGCGGCATTAATGCGAGCTCGGAAAAACGCGTTTGAAGTGAAAGGGTTGCTCTCATCCTCACCAAGGGCAAGGTGCCGCATCTGCTCTAGCGAGCCACCGTTCCGCAAGAGAAAGCCAAGATCCCATTCAAGTAGAGTACCCTGTGAGAAACCCAGCGAGAGAAGTCGGTTGGGGTGAGTAGGAGCAGGGTCGCAGTACTGTCAGTCTCATTGAAGAAGAGCTCGCGGTAGCGAGATTACACGAAGATAAGATTTCTGGGTCGCAGATTCTGAGGTCTTTCTGCCATTGATGGTCTCGCACACAATTTAAAACATGGCTTCGTTCTCCGAAGACGTGGATGGCGTATTGCGAATTCCGGCCGTCTCCCCCTCTCGTCGTGATTACTCTCTCCGAAGCTCTTCAGTGAAGGCCAGCGAATCCAATTCGAGTCGTCCGCAGTCTCCCTGGCGTCCGCGCGATCCGCACTTGCCGAGCCCCGAATCGAGTTCATTTCATCTCTATGAATCGAATCTGCCAGGGCTTGATCGATCTGTATATTACAGCGGCCCCCTTCCTGCCCCTTCCAAGAGCGTCGACAGATCATACTACAGTGGTCCTCTTCCAGGTCCTCTCCCAAGTCATATCCCCGCTTCTTCTTGCTTCAGCGGTCCTCTTTCAAATCCCAGCCCCCTTCCCCCATACTTCAGCGGTCCTCTTTCTAGCCTTAGTCCTCTTCCATCTTACTTCAGCAGTCCTCTTCCTGGCTTCTCAACCACCACGATTGAGTCTTTCGGTTTCCCCACTGGATCGAGTAATTTTCCTCAGCGGCTATTGAGCGGTGATGCTTTGTCCGAAGCACCCGAGGTAGGTTCCAGTCCTGGAAGCAGTTTCGGGGAGGGTAGAGAGGTGGCATTAGTGGCCGAGGACGACGACGATGACACTGAGTCAGTAGGAGATGAGCCATATAAGTCGTATGGAAACTTTGCGCTGTCGACGTCAAGCATTAGTGCACGAACGGGGGCGCAAGATGGGAATGGGAGAACTCGAAACTGTGTTAGTCAAGAGCTTAAGATTAGTCGCGATGCTTCGTATCAGAAGATCCACCTTAACAGAGGGTACAAGAGTGGTGAGATTTTCGGACACGGCGTTCGTTCCGGCGGGACCTACAATTCGAGTTCAGAGTTGGCAAATCCAGATAGGGAGTTAAAACCCGCGAAAGTGATGGATGTACGCAAGCATCGACCATCTGGATCTATTGCATGGGAGGCATTGAACGACGACGCGAATGAGAGTATCAACTGCCAGATGGCTATGGTGGCTATTCCATTCAAATGGGAGGAGGCACCTGGGAAGGCCCGAGATACGGTAAGGAATGGACCCTTACTGGCTTCGCCAAGATCTCGCTCAAGTGAGAAAAAACTCAAGGATTCTCACAGCGGTGTTGCTAATGAGTTCAGTTTTGGAGTTAGCAACAGGTTCTATGGTGACAGTGCAAACAAGGCGCCCGAAAAAGTAGATAGTGGGAGATGGAGTGAAGAGCTGAGTGCATCTGGCATTGATCTGGTTGCCCCTACATCATCGAAATTTTTGGAATCGGTTCCCCGGTCTCTGAAGCCCACACCTCGGAAAGCCCCCCGTTCTTCAGTGCCATTCGAGTGGGAGGAGGAGCCTGGGAAATCCAAGTTCGAGGAGAAGGCCGCCTCTGATGCGATTCCGAAATTGCAACTGCCGCCGAGGCTCGCCTCTGCATCGGTCAAGAGAAACAGCGTCAGCACGTCTACGACATCCAGCAGCAGTCGCAGGAGCCGCAGCATGTCGATCACATCAGAGAAGCGAGCCAGAGCTCGGCCGGCGAAGGGAGTCGTCAGCGCATCGGAATCAAGGGAGTCGTCAGTCAGTAAACACTCTCGTCAATCGCAGGAGGAGTCACAATCGCTGCAGCAGTCGCCATTAGCACAACCGTCGACGCCGCAGGACATGAATAATCGCCTCGCTCTGGCATCAAATTTTCTTTCTGGCCCATTGGACGTCACAGCGAGACCAAGTCAAAGTTCATGTGGAAACTCGTTCGCCTCGAGATCAGGACCCATCACGCCATTCGGGTTGCCTCAGCTCCAAAGCGCGGAGGTCTTCTGCGAGACATCAGTTCGTTCTCCGACAAGTACGCTTGACGGTCCTGGCAGTGTCCCCTCTTACTCCTCCAGCAAGAGCAGTCGTAAATCTTCGAGTGTGACATACTCACACTCGTCGTCGGGCACCTCAGCCGAGTCGTTCGAACACTGGACATATGGGGACCAAGCCAGCTTTCCATCAACATCGAGGCTTCCTTCCACGGAATTCGATTCTCAGGGCTCTTCTCGTTCCGGGTCTGTAAAACCCCGTGACGATGTCGAAACACCAAACATCGGTGATAAGTTATCCAGGAGATCGAAGTCGTCGTCGTCGTCGTCGTCGAGCTCCAAACCCCCAATGAACCCTATTCGCTCCTCCCAAACTGTTTCTACTGCTATGTCTTCGCGACTTGTGGACATAGAGGGACACTTACCGCACGCAGACGAGTGCAGCCGCTCATCACCAACGCCAGCATTGAAGGTGGAGGACGAATTGTCATGCACCCAGAAGGAAGAATTGATCGATCTCGAACCTCCGACACGACTACCCTACAAAATGCCATCTCTTTCTCGATCCTCCGACGCCGTGTTTAAGTCTCCGTCTTCTTCACCGACACGAACCCCCTCCGAAGCCCTCACTTGCCTGCCCAGATTCTTCTCGAAGTCTGAACCTAGATCCAACGTAACGCCGTGCTTCTGGGTAGAGAATCCCTCGTTTCATGCACCAGTGAACTTCACAGAGGATGGGTACAGGTCTCCAGCGTACAAGGCCACATTGGAGCTTTTGTCACCATCGCCAAACCTCTCCAAGAAAAGTGACTCGAGGGTTGCAAGGCTGAGGAAATCAAGCTCACGACTCGGGCAGGTTCACATTGTTGTAAGCTCTCATTAGTCACTTCTCTTCAACTTTTCGCATTGTTGTTGCGTCTTTTAAAGAATGCGACTGTGTTCCGTTTCCCCTATCAGATCCAACATCTCTGATGAAGTTTGCATTCGCGTTGACAGGGCTCTCTACGCAACTCACTCAAACACTTGTTCCACACGTGTACATAGTACAGTGTTGAAAGGTGATGCAATTAAGCTGGTGTCGTCGACGATCATCTCACAAAGGTATTTCCCTCCCTCTTCAATCCCTCCCTCCACCCAAGCTTCTGTTCTACTCCCATCACTGATTCTCGAACCGTTTCAGTAGCCAAGGTCGCGATGTGTCCTTGTCTCCGAAAACTTCATCCTCGGTCCTGATTTCTGCACATGGGCATGGAATCCACCCTCTCTCATCCACGAGTTGTTAACCTCATCCTGTGGCTCATCATGCAGCGACATCAATCGTTCCTAGTGGCGAAGTCCTCTACGGAGGTCACAGACATGAGGAGTATACTCGAGCCATTTGCAGGTCGACATGACGCGACATACTTTTTGTAGCGCCCTGGATATGGTGGTCGCATCATCTCGCCAACGCCACAACAACAACACTTAACTACAGCTTCTTCTTATTCTTCTTGTGTTTACCCTGCAAGCACATGCAAGCACATCACGGAGGCCATGGAGATTGTATCTCTCGCTTTCTCTCGAATCGGTTCTCCCCTATTCTTTTCATTATTTCTGACCCTGCGGCTCATACTTAGCTGGAAAGAGGACTGTAATATACGTAGTGTCTAGACAGATTATTTTAGCGCCCTTGTTGGTGGGTGCTCATTTTGATCCCGGAGCTCTTGTCCGTGAACACACCTAGTGACCAACAACATCCCGGTGGTCTTGAGAGGATTATATGCCTGCACTCACGAATGCTCTTACACACACACACATAGATAGTTCTATATATTGATATATATATATATATATATATATATATATTCACACACACATCCCTTTTGCCGAAGCAATGCCATTGTCTTGTTGCAAGGTGGGACCTCTCTCCGCACCGATGATACCGTTGTAGCCATGGATTCTCAAGGCTGGCTGTCGCTGTATTTGGTGAAGAAGCCATGAAGTTCACTTACAAATGTTTGATCAGAGCATGTAAACAAGCATATGACCATGAATAAACACTCTCATTCTCAATGAATCTCTGATGAACGCTAAGGGAAGGATTATAATTGCTGATGAATGATTGTAATTTTGGTTGGTATGGTGAATATGGCATCCTTCTTCTGCGATTGAGTGCACGTATATTTGTAGCAATGTTTTGGAATAGGGGAATGTCCCAAGTATTGAAAATTGTGTGTTGTAATATCTCAGCATTAATTGGCCTATGATAGAAGCAACTTCTCTATATTAAGGTTAACAATTAATCTGTGGTCTGGTTAGATTTAATTAGCAAGACACTGGTTATCGAAATATTTAAGCCCGTTTAAAGTAGTAAAACACCGACATGGTCAACGGATGCCTTTAAATGTTTTATTTAGTAACTACTACAAATGTTACATATAAGTTTCAAAAACCATCAAATTTTATACCATAGCAGGCGTTCAACTTGGAATCTTGTTTTGTTTTGTTTTTTTGTTTTGTTTTTTGTTATTATGGTCAAGTGAGTAATAAATAATCTTAGTAACTTTTGATCACAAATATAGAATCAATAATAAGTTAATCTTAAATTTTTCAAGGTAAGGAACTAAAGAAACATATTAGATTGAAAAGTAGGTTCCTAAAAATGCTTAAGTCAACAAAAAAAAAAAAAAAAAAAAAAAAAAAAAACACCCTTTATATTTATACTCTTAAAAAATATAATAAGCCATATAAGAAAATGTTTGATTTTTTTTTTTTTTTTTTTTTTTTTTGATCATGCTAGATGTCACCCGTAACCAAATAGTTTTGCAAAGCACAAATGTTTTGTGATTAACGTGTAAATTTGTTACTTTTTAAATAAAAAGTTGTTACATTGATGCCCTCCTATCACATTGATGTCTATGGCAATGAAAACGATGAGATAAAATAATAATAATAATAAAAAATAAAAATTAATTTATTTGTTTAATATTACCAAATAAGAGTATCATTAGAAGAAGAGTTCTGTAGCATAAAATTAATCTGTGTAGATTCTTTTAAATTGATGTTATTAATAACATTAACAAGCAACATAATTAGTTTCTTTCTTTATATTTGTTATATACATAGATATTAGCAACACCTAAGGATTTACCAAAAATGCCTTTGATAATGATCCAAAGTCTTCAATTTAATATAAGGGAATCAACATTAATAACCAAATACTTAATTTCTAGAAATATGAAAATGCAGGCTTTGCTTTCTTTAATCCCGCTAAAATTATTTACATAGTTTGACTAAGCTTCTAAGATAAATGACCTTACATTAGATAATAGAATGCTTTCTAGTTCTTAAGCCTTTGAACCACATTGTTCTTGTAGAAGAATGATATTATACTTTGTAAAATTATTTTATTCATATAACTTTATGAGGTGTCAATGGAGATGTAATGCAGATTGTAGAGCCAACTACACTCAGATGCTTCATAAAAATTTACCACATCCTCAATATTGAAAACAACATCCTCTAAGGCAATAAATACATTGCCTCATTCTTGGAAGAGTTGGAACTAGTGAACTCAGGCCCAATCCACCTAAAAGACTGAGAAGTACATGTAAGGGTGGTAACCAAAGAAGGCACAAATAATGCCTTTAAAGAATACAACCCACTAAGTAAGCCACCCACTGACACAACAATTTGGCTTGTAGAAGACAAAACAATCCGACATTTATAAATTGACTTGAGTAAATAATCATGGCAACAACAAGAAGACATAGGCAGCACCAACATTCTAAACTACACAACAAAGCAAACTTAATGCAGCTCCCTTCAAAGGAGAGTCCACTCTCTCAAGGCACAATTTTAGAAACATAGAATGTACACAACTCTACAATATCCTTTGGCACCTATGGTTTTCTCAGAAGGTTTTACCTATAAGATGGTTAGTGATAGCAGAGGGCATATTGGTGGGTACGTGCAATGTTTCTATTTAGTAGTTCATGACTTCTCTACCATTGCTTTTCCATGACATAATTGTTGTATGTGTGTGTGTGTAGTTATAGACATTCTTCATCTTCACATTTCTCTGGCAACTGTTATTGTTCTCAAGTTTGTTGATGAGATTGAATATCATAGATGATTCTTTGATTCCCCCCTTTTTTTTAAAATGGGTCAATAAAATAGAGTTTTGATAATAATTCACAAAAAATTGTCAAATTTGAAAATAAGTTAATTGTATTCTGGAGCCTAAATTGGTAAATATAACAAGAATGTTCTTATCAACTCTACCATCTTTTCCCCAAAGTTTTTTAAAGAACATATAATTTGCTAAATGTTAATATTTTTTCATTTATGTAAAAAGAATCTGGAAATGCAATAATTGTGTCATACTGTTGATGAACGAATTTCTTATCTATGAACATAATGAAGAAAAGTTCTTTTTAACGATTTTATTGGTAAGCCCCATAAGTTTCAACAGTAATTAAATAAGAAAATACGTAATAGGAGCTGGTGTATAAATAAGATGAGTCATATTAATTTTTTCCCGTACGTGGGATTGTTGTGTACCAAGATAAAGTCTGAATATCAATGATTTGGAAAATAAGATATATGATTCAATGACTTTTCCACCTTACTTAACCTCATTTATCCTTCACATATAAACACAAAAAAGGATAGATTTTTTTATTTCTTTTCTTTTATTTGATTCCCTTCCACATGGCTGATTGATCCAATGTGGCACCTTCTAGTAGGCACTGGAAATCAATGTGGCACATTTAGAAGGCAATTTGATGGAACTTTTACCTAATGTGATTATGTCGTGTAAAATTCAATCCTTCCTAATTTACAATTTACAATTTACAAGTTGTTTCCAAAGTTTGACATGAAGGGTGATCCTTCCCATCTACTACAATTGAAATTGCATCCTCTGAACATTACTTCAAGACTTCACCAACGGGGTTTACAACTCTAAAAACAATGAGGTTGCCTGAATGCAGTTACCCAAGGACTTCAAAACATGGTCCAAAAGGAATGCATCACCAATATTTACTCATAATGAGTCCTGAAAATCTTAATGTGCTAACATATCAAACTCATGCTTCATGCACCTTCAAGACAACCAAAAAATAGCATTGTGTAATTTAAACCTCCAAGAAACAAAAGATGAATCAGAGATGCATCGAGAAGCATAGAAGAAAGCTATGTACTAGGCCTCTACCAATTAGGAAAAGGACTAAAGCCTCGCCCATGGGGGCTAACCCACACACAAGGGCTTGAACAAAAGCTTGCTAAGACCTCGATATAGACCAGCACAAAGGAGAGGTGAGAGGTTATTCTTGAACCTACAAAAACAAATATGAATTGCTTCTAATGACCAAGGACCAAACCATCAATGCTATTGTAGTTGCAACAAAAGGGTTTGCCTTCAACATCAAGGTTCTCCCTGAAAAGCATGCACACAACAGTTTAAGACTGCATTATCATCATTTTCACTGAGAATAGATGAACGCTAGTACAGTACCTGACCTCATAGGGCTACAAATAAAATCAAACACATTGGCAACGTTTAACCAAAGAACTGCAAGACGGTAGGTGTAACACATTTCAGGAGCATGCGAGAAGAATCGAATATAAACCATTCATCAGCGCAAGTCTCGGGTTGTAGGAGAACCTGACCTGTATAACTTACAATACTGTAACTGCGACGACACACTTGCACCTAAATGCAGAACAGTCTTGAATGACTTACAATTTCATATCCAAGTAAAACTTGAACATAGCGGGTTGTAAAACTCAAATAGTTTCCTGACTGCTATCGAGGACGAGATAGTACTTCTTCTTCAAATGATTATTTCTACATGTTGTACGCAGTTTCAGCTCCCCTCCTATCCAAAAAGCCAGTGCATTGAAACTTCCCAAAAGTTAAACATAAACATCCCCATTCGCCAGCTATTGTTCAGGATGTACAATGAATCCAAAATAATTAAATCAAAATCAAAAGAATCAGCCTTCTACGTGGATTTAAGAGCTTCGGCTTCGGCTGCAGCCATAGGATCATCCGTGGCATCGTCGGCTTCAGTTTCACCTTCTCGAACCTCTTGCAATTTCTTCCTATCCGCTTCTTCGGCAGCACTCACAGTCGCCTGATGCTCCGCGTTCAGACGCTTCATCTCTTCCTCTTGCTGTTGTCGCTCAAACCATGTGTCGGCGTCCGCCCACACTGCACACACACATAGGTAAATATAGGCTCTTCACTTTGAAAAACACCAGGGCGTCAACTACCATCTTGTGTGCAGCATTCAACTCAATTTGCCCTCGATTTACTATTTATTCGCAATCAAGGCAAGCTCTTTCGAATAGCACTATTACAGAGTGCACAGCACAGAATCCCATACCTGCTTGAGAGGCCCACCCTTGTTCTCCTCCCTTTATTTTCTGTGGCTGTGCATAATTGACGGTGAGAACACGACCGTACAATTCACCATTGTGCATGTTGTCCATTGCAGCTGCTGCATCTTCTTTCTCAAAATAAGTGATAAAAGCAAAACCACGGTGCTTCTGTGTTGCCTGGTCTAACGGCATTGAGATATCCTTGACATCACCGAAGGGGATGAAAGCTGCATGCACGACTTGCTCCGTTACGTTTTCCTCCAAACCACCTGCTCCACAAAATATACACCCTTGAGTGAATACTACCTCTATATGCTAGCATCACAGGGCTCCATAATTTGTAATGAAATAAAACAAGACCACTACCATGATCGAGAATTTGAGGCGATTTCATTATGTAAAAACCGTCGGAGGACCCCCTACAAAGTAACGTGAAAGAATTTAATGCAAACAATATCCACGAGAAGGATCCTCATCATAGCTCGATTCAATGCCATTTACAGTAACACAACGAACACCACTTGAGAACCTCATGATCGATGTAATATAAGGTTAAGGGTTTTAGGGCCTCCCCCAATGACACCCCAAACATGACGTCTCCTTCTCATTCACATTGACATGTATGAAAACGACATGAAACCAGAGAATCTGCCAACTCAACCAGATCGAACAGAGCAACGACCACGTGACATCAACAGAAACCCAAAAGCTATCTCTTCGACCATTGAGAAAGTAAGCGCAACCCAAAGAAGAAACCTCGCAGAATGCGAAAAGCGGGGAATTACCGACGTAGAGGGTTGTTTTGGGATTGGTACCCATCTGTACAACCTGGTGGACTCAAAGCCTACGCTCACAGACCACGATCGCTCGTCCCAGCATCTACCATGCCCCTTCTCTCAAGGCTATCGCTACACAGCAATATTTTCAGCTTCACCACAGCCTCTGTTTGTACGAATCCGCGACGTTGATGATTCCAGAGCTCGGTTGCGCGAGTAGGACAGCGAGAGGCCGGAGCTTGAAGAGGAACTGCGACAAACCCTAATCCACAGACGCAAGCCAAATCGTGACTCGTGGTGCGAATGCAGTATTCCGTGGATGAATGAATAAAATACGTTCGTTGGAGTGTATCTATCATTGGCGGAGCATTTGGGGTCCTGGTTAATTCAAATGCTATGTTCGTATCATAAATGAAAATCTTTAAATGCATTTTTTACCATTAAATGATTATGATTATATATATATATATATATATATATATATATATATATATATATCTGCATATATACACATTGATAGATACACTCCAACGATTTTTAAAAATTTTGCAACTTATCTAAAATATGAAATTTATGTGAGACAATCTAAAGATTAAAATGATTATCTATACTAGCTAAATGAATAGAAGTAGAAAATAGTAGAAAAGTTGTTGTGTTATGTGGAAAGCGGCTTAAGAATGCACCAAGCATCTTTTTCTAAAAGGATTTGATCTCACCTTGAAATTGGATTTATAACCAATAACCATGCATAAGGTCTTTAAAAACATAATTTTGGCAATCTTAAACAACTTAAGTAAGCTTATAATTGTTCTTAATATATCTTATCAATTTTTTTTAAACCTCAGATATATAGCTTATCACATTCTAATCATATCCAAATAAACCTTAAATAGTTATTAATAATCCTAATTTAATCCTAAAAAATCCTAAAAATATACAAATAAATCTCTCTTAGTTTTAAAGTAGTTCTAAATAAATCTTAATCAAACTCTATCTTTGCAAAGCACTTACAAAGTTATTATCTATTCAAATAACTCAAAATCAATGCCTAAAGAAATTATATCAAATTTGCTCCCTAATCTCACTCTCCAATTAACAAACTATAATTATTACATGCACATAGTTTTGTGCTTTGGAATTTGGTTCTAATTTTGGTTTTTAATTGGTCTTCTCCGAATATCAATCTAAGGTTTTTTAATGTAATTCTTGTTGAAAACTATCATGGAGTGACAACTATTCTTTACTTTTATCCAAAGATGCTTATAATATTATTTTTGCATATCTATTTTTTCCCTAATTTTTATAGAAAGTACAAGTTTTTTTATAAAAATATAAAAGTAGAGTAAATATTACATTTTACTACATCTCTATCTTTTACTAATATTTTTAAAGTATTTTTTCTATTATATTTATAATTAAGTTCTTTTATAATATGATCTCTCTTTTAGTCTTACACCTAATAGCCGTATTACAATATATTAACATACTAGTTAGACAATTATTTTTTTAGGTATAGATTGAATCCTTATGAGCCCTTAGATACATCATATGTTTATAAAAAAAAAAAAAAAAAAAAAAAAAAAATCTTAGATATTTTGTTCATATAAGAAGCCACTATAGAAATGTCCTTTAACTCAAACACTAGGCTTAGTAGGTTTGTGGTTATTAAGAAGCTTCTACCTAGCTTTCTTCTTAGCTAGTATGTATAGAAGCAATATTAAAGCCATACTTAATCTTGCCAATATAATATTATATTGTAGTCTTAGATTGAAACTTTCTAGTCTTAAAGACTTAGCGATAGTTCTAATATCTTATAAAAATATTTCTTGAGAAACTTCTTTCTCTCTTTTGAACGATTACTCTAGATTTAGCTCTTTAATACTTTGACAAAATCCATGTATATAATATTCTTGTTAAATATTTTAGTATTTGGTGATAGCTTGTGATTTTTTCTTCTAATTATCAAGTAAATTTAAATGTTGCAAATGATTCTCTTTTTAAAAAATATTATTATATAATTACTATTTTATTATATGATATTTCCTTCAACTTCAATTTTATGTAAAAGTCTTCTATATATTACAAATAAAATATTTATAGCACAACTTAGTAGAAATGAAGAGGATGATAGAACAAGTCCAAGAAAAAATAAAGGATATAAAAATATTAAGATGCAAAAATATCATTTGTTTATCTTGCCAATATTTATCAACAACTTACAACTTATTAAATAAAATTCAAATTTGACATAAAGACAATATATTCTTTTAAATTTGAATTTAGAGCTTCTATTAGTTATTTAATTTGAATTTGAGCATCTATTATTGAAATGTTATATTTTAAAAAAAAATCAAACAAATACAAAACAAAAACATATTAATCTTTTTTTTAAAATAATTAAAGATTATTTCATTGGAAAAATATATGTCTACAAAATAAACATTACATTTCATAAAATGTGGAAAATAAGTATCTACTATTTAGATTTTTTTTTTTTGTTGAGTCTTTTGCCTTTTAGGTTACTTATTGGATTAGTATTTCTTTTTATTTTCTTTTTAAGAGTTATCATTGGATCATTGAATAAGGAAAGTAAGATTAATTATTTGTTGATGAATTGCTTCAATTGGAATAGAGAATTGGTGACAATTAAGTAATATAGACATGACTTTTGAAAGAGTAACAACTAGGTTTTAAAATGTTGATGGTGTGTTTTTTAACAATTTACACTTTAGAATTCCAACAATGTTCCTGTAACCTATACTTAAAAAAAAGCTCAGATTTTGATTTTTTTAAGATTAAGAGATGATGTAAAAACACAATTCAAAACTAACATTAATATTCACTTGACATGGTATTTAAATTTGATTTTGATTTAGATTTAACAAGGGTTTTGTTTGTCCCTCACCATCACCCACCATACTTTTACTTCCAGAAAATGTTCATTGAAAATTTTGAAATTTTAATTTATTGGATACAGTAATTTTTATTTTGAATATTCCTTGCAATGTGTGGATAAGAAGGATGTTTTAAACATAAACTGAATTTTTTAGAAAAAGTAAACTTGTACTAAAGGTACTTCAGATACTTGCACTCAAGGTACTAAAGGTACTTAAGCCATATATTTTAATGTATGTATATATATATATATATATATATATTTAATAGGAATAACAAAATGATTTTGTCTTTCATAGTTTCATAATGATTTCATTCATCGTAGTTAAAATATTGCAATATCAAAAATTGATTCTCTAAGCACTAATGATTTAATCCTTTTTATAACTTAAAATTACATTGCATGAAAGTAAAAACTGCATTATTGAAATAATAAAATTGTTCACGAAACTTTGAAGTAAATAAATAGCTTGGAACTTTTGTAGATATCCAAATTATGTCAAATGTGAAGATTCCCACCTTCTTAATCATAGGTATTAATCACTACATGAAAAAATCTTTCTCAAAATACAAGTTTTTGTACCACAATATTTATTTGAATAAAGCTGTGTATATACATAAATACAAATATAGAATTCAAAACTAATTGTTTTACAATGTTCATCACTCCTATTCTGATTTATCTCCCTAGATTCATCACAAGCTCTTATTCTCAATATGTTTCGACAATAACTTCATACCATAACTTCTTGGGTTCATTTATCAGTAATAAACTTCTTCAAATAAAAAAACAGTTAAACAACCTGTACAGAATTAATAGATTTATGTGGCAAGTTTTACTCAGTTCTTTATCCTGGATTATGTGACATACAAGACAAGATTAGGAAAAATATATCATGAGAAAAGAAAAACGACGGTTCTCCTTAGGCGTTGAAATTAAAATCAGAACCTATTGGTGCAGTTTGGTCATTCTAAGACTTCAACATGAAGGTCCTTATCAAAGTATAATTCAAGGGGTGTCGATGTTAGCAGTATCCATGAGTCTGAAACGAAACCACTACTTCCCACTTAAAATATATGGTAATAACACACAGCAACCCTTCAATAATAATAGTGTAACCTAATCCAGGATAAAGATTGTATGTCCCACTAGCCAACGGGGACGATTGATGCACTTTCCCTGCGTTGCAAATCAAATGTATACCGAAATAACAAAACTTAATAAAATGCTCTGGTAGAACTGCAAGTTATTCCAAACAACCGCTTCAAGCCAACGTCAGAACTTGATTAACGAACGCCTTCGTGGATGTTTAGAACAAGTCTGACTAAATAGATACCCAAGGCCTTCTTTCGGAATCCAACTTATCCTTCAGCATCCTGCTGCACTACCATGGGATACTGAGTAAGCCAGTGCTTGAAAGCAGCATCATGATGCCATGATTCTAGATGTCGTCAGCAGTGGAGACTGAAAAGTTTCAAGAGCAGAAAGAATCACAATGAATGAACTCGAAAGCAATCCAAGTAGGAGACCAACAACGTTATCGTTATAAGAGTGACATTATCACCAAAAATATAAAAAGGAACAAAGCTGTTGAACAAATTCCAATTTGGAAGCTTCTACTCGACAACAGAAACCCAGGTCAAGGTAACTCCCCCCTTCAATAATGATCTTGCTGACCTTATTTCAAAAAAATCACGTAACATGCAGCACTATCATACTCCATAGCTGTTGCAAATAATGTGACAAGAATAACCCTCACAGAACAAGTGGCTGCAACCCTCGTCTCAACATTACCCTTCATCTCACAAGGGTACCATCTTTACATGCTCCATCCCTGCCTTAAGTTTCACCTTCCACATTCCAACCATGTACATCACAGGCCCACTCTGCTTGCTTGCGCATCCAGGAATATAATCTCCAGCAAGGGCCCATGCTTTGCCATCCTTAATCCAGAGCCTTTTCACATGAAGTTCTTCATCCTGACAACTAGGGTGTCTTTCCGGGGCAGGGACTTGTAGCCAAAAGTCAGGACACTGACGCCGTACTTCTACAATTCAATAGTGAGGATGAAGGAAGAGCTACGCTCTGTCCAGAATATTACATTGCCTAATAAACTCGTTGGAGTAATTCACGTACTTGGACCAGAACGGTCTGAGGTGAGGGAAAGCTATGTCCAACCATGGCTTCGCCTGTCCATTGAAGTGAATCACAGCTGCCTTTCCCACAGCTTCCAAGTTCGTCTTCGCATTATAACCCAGCCCCAACAGGTGCCAGTTATCAGGGATTGGGTGGACATTGCCATCAAAGGCGATGAGGGCAGGGGGTAGCGTCCCCAACCTCCATAACGTCAAATTCAATTGCAGATTCTGAAAACAAACACGCGTAGTGATTCAATGTTCGACCGCATCACAACCGATACAGCTAAAGAACTCAGGCTGCGATCATGTCGCTCAAGCTCATATTCTATTCATTTGAAGACTTAATTTGGACAACTCAAAACATATTACCAGAAATAGCTACCGTAATCAAAACGATTCCAGCTCACCAACTTCGCGATTTAAACGAAACGCCCCCCCCTCTCTCTCTCTCTCTCTCTCTCTCTCTCTCTCTCTCAATAAAACTAATCAGTCGACATTGATCAGGCACAAAAGAGGGAATAGAGCAACAAAACACACCTGCTTCTGCCAATAGTGGTATACACGGGTGATATCAGCCTTCCTCCAAGCTTTTAAATCAAATAAATTCATACCATATGCCCACGCGCACTTTTCAGGATCGAACGTTGAAGAGATTACAGGATGCGAGAAATTGAAGTAGTTCTTGAACGTCTTCGACATCACCCATGTATCATCCCCGCGGCATGTTTCAACAGCGCCGTTCACTTTACCATGAAGATCCATATCCCACAAAGGACTCAGATCCTTCTGGACCACTACATCGTCATCAAGAAACACCACTTTCTCCAACTCCGGAAATAGCTATCACCACGACCAAAGCAACCACCGCTTTATCATCCAGTAAATAAAAATGAGATGTTCCAATGACTCAAACTGGTACACACTGAAGAACCAGAACTCACTTTAAAATAAAAATAAAAAATAAAAAAAACAGATTTGTATTAGGATCAAAGGGGTAAGAACGAGAGCAGCAGTGATTTAGTGCAAAGATCTCACAACTAAATCCTGGACAACAAAAAGGATCCGATGTGTCAAACACGGGCCTCTTTCCTGCTTGATTAAACAAAAAATTGGCGAAGCACCAGTTTGGCATGTGCGCGAAAGAGTTGATTAAAGAGATAAAAATGACTTCAACACGCACGACATTCAGATCAACTCAACCGTATTTTGGTCGGGTAGGTAGGCCCGAAGGAGACAGTGAAAGACCTTAGCGAGAACACAACCAAGTGTAAAGAACTCACGTCTGGAAGGTAAATGCGGAGGTGGTTCATGATGGAGATATACTTCGGAGAACGAGCCTGCAAGTATGAAGCCAGGATTGTAGGTGAGTACTGACTGATGTTCGCTCCTGCTGTGTGGTCACCGTGGTAATAATACTTGATGTCCTGAGAAGATTCCATGGCCTCCAACACGGGTACGTTGTCCCTGGTCAGCCACTCGAATTGGTGCACTCCTTTCACCTCCACTATCGCAGGGGCTAAAGGATTGAGCGCAAACCATGCGTGCATGGCGGCATGCGTCTTCTTATCGGTGATCACATGGAAAACTATCTTCTCAGGCTGAGCTGAGTTACGTATTGTCGAAGTCACAACAACTGCGGCTGCCAAAACATTATCAGTCGCAAGAACCATGTGATGGTATGCTGGGTCTGTTAATCGTGGAGCCAGATCAGGGGAGGGCAGATCCTGCCGGGCTCGTGCGTTACTTGAATACTCCCCAGTCAGCTTCAACGCTAGACAGTGGAGGCCCTTTGGCACTCCGCTGCTTGCATAGTGCCTGTACAGAGCCTCCTGAAGCCTCGCCGCACGAACCTTCTCCTCGTTCACCTCAACCTGCCAATCAAAGCATTCACCATTACCACCTCAACTAACCAACATGAACGCTACTGAAAATGTCACCAAAGGTACAAGACTGATGCACACTCCCGCAGAAGGATTCAGGTTTGAATAGTAGATCAATAAAATGTACCATAGATTTCATACGCCGCAGTAAAGTGGCCATGTCATACTGCCTATTCCGAGCTTCAGTCAACAATGCCTCAATGGTGTCAGGTACGTCAGTCAATTCCTTCTCATTTTTGTACTCTAAGAGTGCTGAATATTTATCCTCTACCTTCTGCACCATCAATATCCACAAAATTAATTGAGAATTTGTTCCTGGTCTGAACACGAGATGGTTCAAATATAAAGCAATCCCTGGTAGAGATAGATAATATATTCAAAATTGAGACAAGCTGCAAGGATATGGTCATGGATGAAGATGAAAAGAGAAGCAACACTTACTGGAGAGGCATGCCGTTTCCACGATAATTTGGGTCCTAATTTTCTTCCGAAGCAATCTGACATACAGGGAAATACCCATAGCCAACTTCAGGTCGTAACAAAAACTACGAAACATGTACCTCATTTGAATTCACGAAAACGGGGAACTTTCTCATCAAAATTCCTGAATAGAATAGAGCCAACAGCCCCCACTACTAACATCATGGTCGAGTTTGGAGGGAGTTTAAGAATGAGAATAGGGAATTCATTACAAGAATTACTTGAAGCTTTACAAGCGAATGAAAGTAAAACTCTCTCAAGTTTCTTATGTTAATTTGAAAAATTAAGATCAAACAGTGCTATAAACCCAAACATACAGTACTGTTAGGTACCCACAGTACAAAGCAGATGATACGCACTGGCAGCCTCACGGCCCGTTGAAAATTAGCAGCGCAAATCCCCAGCACAGCACTTGGTTGAGCAAAATCGAGATTAGGATACAGCGTCTGTAAACCTCTCACAGAACTGTGTCTAAACCTGGTGAACTTGGGTTCCATAAAAAGAGGAAATCTACAATGTTCGAGGTTCAGGGCTGGCTACGTCAGCGGTATGTGCTCGCATTACATGGTAGGGATCGCCCATTTACTGGGAAGCAGAAAATTGACTGACATATTTCTGAAGCGGTTTAGATACATGACTTGCATAGGAATGAGAAGGACTGTAATCACAACTTAAACTTTAGGGAGACGCGCACACAAGTTACACAAACTGTGGTACACTTCAGGCTCCAGATTTGCAAGTAGAATCTGTGCAAATGGTCTGTCCAAATGGTCTGTGCAAATGATCTGTACAATACGAAAATACAGACATGCAGGGTGGGGGGATATGAAATTCAAGTAGATGTGAGCATACCGAGAGATGTGCAGTTGTGAACGCCTTCGAGAGTGATGAGCGCGCTGGTGATGAAAAGGAACGGCAGAAAGAATGCGAGAAACAGGACGGTCCAGAAGATACAACGGTAGCTAAGGTACCTCGCCGCGCCTTTCATCTTCAGGGGTTCCAAGAACCCAGGCGATGTGGATATAGTGATCCGTCGCATGCTGGGGGAGATGTGGACCTGCATTGTGGGCCACCTCTTCCCCCTCGGAACTCAAGGGCTCCTAGATCTCCTCCACCGCTCCTCTTCCCTGTCCACCATCACTCTCCCGGGCCAGATCCCTACTCTGCAATCCTTCAACCAGCTCCGCAACCAACCATCCCTTTCTCATCCCTCCCACCTGAGCTTACTCTCTTTTCCTCCAATCAACCCAGCCGAGCTCAATACCTCTACCTCCTCGTCCTCACACCCCGTACCACTCCGTTCTCCTTCCCCTTAAAACCCGAACCCTCCCATCTACCACTTCGTCCACACGCCTTGATACCGTCACCATCGACACCCTTGATCCATCCTCCAGTTCCACCTCCCCCCCCCCAACTTCACGTCTCTGCTCCGTTTCTCCACCTCCACTCCCTCAATGTACCATTACCTCCCCACCATTCCACCCATTCGTCGCCAAAATCCTCGCGATCTACACCCCCTTTCCTCGCTCACGACACCTCCCCACCCAAAACAAGCTCAAAATTCCCAATCTTCTCCCAAAAAATACACTCTGCAATCTCTACATCCGCCACGCTACCACTCCACACGTCACGTTCCCAAAACGAAAAACTCCGAACCCCCGCCGTCAGATAGCATTCAAACTCTCTCTCTCAAACACACACATACACCGCAAAGCGACTTCCGACAGAGCGTAACCTCCACATACAATGTCAGACACAAGGCTCAAATCGAGAATGAATGAGTTCGCGACGCCTCGCACTCCCCTCTCTCTCTCTCTCTCTCTCTCTCTATCTCGCTCTGTTTCGGGCTCGCTCGTTCGTCCCTGTAATGGTGCTCTCCTCTCGTTTCTTTGCAGTGTGGAGAGCTGTAGCGCTCTGGTTTGCTGCGGTGCTTGTGCACTCTCGAGTGAGAGAAAGCGAGCGAGCGAGCTCGTCCTTGGTCCCCACGCCCTTCCCTTCTTTCCCTTCCCTTGGCTTTGGTTTGGCTTGGCTGCCACTGCTGGGCGAGAGTCGCTCCCCGGAATCCTCCCTCCGCGACCGACGACCGGGACAGCCCCGAACTCCATCATATCATGGCTCTACCTGGATGCCCATTCAGGGACTCGTAGATCTTTCCGAAATCTACGTCCGTAACTTTCGGCTGTGTGAAAGCGTCGACTCTCCCCCTCTCCCTCTCCCGTGAGTTCAAATTCCTTTTGAGATTAAATTTGCGCTGGTTTTATTCCGCGTCGGGAATAGGGGGTGGAAGTTTGCTACAAGTCTCCTTAGTAATAACTTCTGTTCGTTCGTTTAATTTGTTTTCGTTTCTTTCTTTCTTCTCTCTTCGCTTCTTCGTTGTTTTCTATATTTATATATGTGTGCTTTTGGTATAGTTTTGTATGTGAGAAATCAATTGTTGGGTGCACCAGCATGTCAATGATTGCCTAGGGAAGTGAGGGATAGGTTTGTGTTTCTGTTATTTTATTTTATTTCAGTTTATTTTATTAGGGGAGAGGGTTATTGTGAAAGAAGGTACTAGGAAGGTGGGGTGTGGGAATAAACCCTACCCAACCCATCCCTACCCATCTCAACCCAACTCAACTCCAGCCCAGCCCCTTTGTTTCTTGTTTTTTTACAGAAGGGGAGTAGATGGCAAATCCTATTATTATAAGGAATTGAAAAAGTCCCCTTGCATGAGTTGGAATGAATGAGTAAAGGAAAGGAAGGGCGAAAAGGGGGAGGGGAGGGGCATTGCAGTGTAACTTAGCCTTGAAAGAGTCTTGTTAAGTTACCAGCTGAATTGAATGGAATGGTGACTTCAGTGATGCCTGACAAGAGATAATGGGTAGTGATCCATGTAGGATGGATGTGGATGGATGATCATGGAGGGACCACTTTTGGAAAGACAGAAATTTCATCCTGATTAAGAGAGAGATTTATGATAATTATACACAGCTCCAGTTACTTGGTCTGTCCATCCATCCATTGATCTCTCTTCTGAATACCAATGTGGAAAACTATGGCACTGTACACACTCTCACACATAGGTGATACTAGAATTACATGAGGATGCCATGTTTGTCATGGGACTCAAGAATGCCATATAAGATCCTGTTGTGGGGAGGGGGGAGGGCGGTTGCCCTCCTTTCTCCTTTTTAGATGGCTTTTCTTACTTTAACATTTCCAGGTCTTGGAAATTGAGGTCCCACACACACCCACACAACACTCTCCCCCACCCCTCACAAGGGCATTTTATGGGAGGCTTAGTTCAAATTGACCTTGGATGTCGCTCCTGGCTGGGCCCCCCCCCCTTTTTTTTTTTTTTTTCCTTTTTTTTGGGGGGGGAGGGAGGATCCCTTTTCTCAGTGTCACTCTATCCCTCTCTCTCTCTCTCTCCCTTGGACCCTCCAATTTTATTTATTTAGTTACTTATTTTTTTCACTTTCAAGTAGACTTCTCCGTCACACTTGAGCTTTTGAATTCCATAATGCAACAAAAACAGGAACAGTGCTTTGCATACCACAATGGATCTCCTCATTCCTTCTTTTTTCACTTTCCTCCCTCATTTATTTGTTTGTTTGGTGCAATTGTGATGGAAGGAATCCATGAAGAAATATTCATTTGCATAAGGCTTTTGTTTTTGATAGAGAAATAGACCCCCAATCCATCACTAGAAAGTCAAAAAATAATAAACTTGAGTGATGAGAAAGATACAAGGACAAGAATATGAAAAATAAATAAGAATGAATAAATAAAAACATTAAAATGGGATGTATGTTTTAGATGCTATAAAAGGATGGGCTTTGGCTAATGTGTAAGATTTTGATCATATTTCTGTCCCCAATTAATACAATACATTTAACTTTGTTATAAGAAAAACAAAAAAAAAACAACAACAACAACAACAACAACAAACAAAGAGAATTATCATGTAAATTATTTCAGTTGCAATTTGCACATCAAAAATGTTATTTTCAATTAAAAATCTCATAACAAGCAAACTTTGACTGAACTAAAAATGAAATACTATTCAAGTTAAAGCTATCTATTATTCATTTTTCTATACATGAATGGCACTCTATTATGTATTTTTCCTACATTTCTTACCCAATTATTGTTCAAGTATCAATGTAAGAATCATGTAACCAACAAGCAAAGAGCAAAGTGTTTTGAATTTACAAAATGAATGCTCAGTCAACATGAGATTCTAAGTAGGCAAGTGTAACATTTGAACCCACATCAAACTCAACAAAGTTTAAAATCATTATGTTTTCAAGTATGATAAAAGATGTGTTACTGCTTAATCCATATAGTTCACCATTATAACCATAACTTTTTTGTAGAATATTTATTCAAAATAAAAAATAAAAAGAATAATGAATAACATATTTATTATAGTTTTCAATATAATGACAGTATTACACCAAGAACATAAAACACATAAAAAAAATAAAAAATAAAAAAAATAAAACAGTGACCAAAATTTATGGTAATGTTCAGATATAAAAATGTTGCATCCTGTGAATGTTGTGTTGTTGGAGCCAGTACAACATTCACTAAATAATAAAGGTGTTTAACATGATGGCATGTTTTTATTTAGTAATGGTAATCTTTGTTTGACGTGCTTGAATTAAGTATGGATTTAAAGTTATGAGACAATACTTTGCAAATCATGTGAATTTCTAATTATGTGTGTACAAAAATATTGTTGTTTGGTATATTTATTCAATTTGGAAAACAAACAAATAAAACATAATACTTTTCACCACTCACGGTTATTTATTTTATTTTTATTTAAAATAATAAAAAAAACATTCTAAATATTCGGTTTTGTTTCAGAGTTACTTTTCTTGCTTGTTGTTAATAAAATATTGTATATTCTTTGACATTTATGACATATATTTCTTTGAATAGAATTGAGTTGTTCTTTAAATAAATGACATAAAAATTTCAATTGCATTAAATGTTACGCATATGTTTAATAGACATGACTTGCCGTTCTATATCATTGAACCACTACACATAACAAAGAATGATTGGAAAATGACAGGAAAAGATAAATATGAAACAAGGTTGAAATTCTTGATCCTAAGCATTTAGTTCAAAGGTGACAAATACACTTTTTAATATATTCTCGGACATGCATGATTGTATAAAAACAAGTCACACTTCAATTTGAAAACATATCAGAATCTATTTATGGAAGAGCCTTAATTATATTAATCTAACATGTTCATTTCATAATGCAACTTCATTTTTTCTTTCTGATTGTAAGGTTCTAAAGTAGAATGAATGAAGTGCAAAAAAGAATGAACAGCACCCAACTTTGGAATCACATGCCCAATTCCCCTCCAGTCTCCACTCTTTTATATATATATATCTATTGTGAGGAGTGAGTAAGATGAGGCTGTCCTCATTAATTCCACGCTAATCCTTGGACAGGGGATCCACGGTATGCACAAGGAAGTTCATGGCGGCCGTGGGACCCATGCCCGCCTATTCGACTGAATGGGACGAGGCGGGATCCCCACCCAAAAACTCTCGCTCATTCTCTCTCTCGCACTGAACACACACATATCATGAATCACAAAAATAGGTTAAAATAAAAAAAATAGCGCAACCCTTTGGATACAAAAACCTCCGCCCACACCCCACGAAGCCTCCTCTGTTCCTTAAATCAGCCCTCGCCGACTACGATGATGGGTTCGTTTTTAACTTCGAGCAAATCAACAAGAAAATGGGCGTGCAGGAAGGGCGTTGTTCCGAATGCAGTGAAGGGGGATTCATTCAGCATAAGAGCAGGTTTTTGACTGTGGGTGAGCGGTGACGGTGGCGGTCAAACAAAATTCTCCCCAGAAACGGATCCGGGAGTAAGTCAGAGAGGGGAGCGGGGTAGAGCGGCCGAGATTAGATATACAGACAGCGCAAAAAGGAAGCGCACAGCACCCACAGCGTCGATTTCGCAAGGAGCGGCGTCGTCCACATTTATCCAAGTGCGGAGGAGAGAGGCGCCCCTGGTTGGCCAGGCAACGCTACACCAGGTGCGGGCCTAAAACCGGCCAACGCGGTTACTAATCCCGGTAAGTATCCGCGGTGGTATTGTCAGACAAGTGGAACTTTTCCAGTGCCACGTCTGCCCCCAGGCTGGGTCTATGTGGATTTCTTAGGAACCTAGCCTCTAGGATTCTCGCACGTGCTCCTTTCCCGCCTCCACCGCGCGCATTCGTCGTCTTATTCGTCTGATTCTCCGTCTATTCGTCAACGAAGTTCCACGCGACGGACGTCATCGTTGATAGGCGCGCTTCATCGTTCGTCGCCGAGTTTGCAACATCGAGGGTTGTTTCCGTGGACGAAAAACAAATGTCGTTGGTGCCTTTGGCTATTATTAAACTGTTTTGTACATAATCATTGAGTTGGACAACAACTCTTTAATC